GGCCATTCCTGTCCCAATCAAAATATACCAGTATTTTACATTCAGACACTCATGGAAGCAGGAACTAGAATGCAGATCTTCCCTTATTCCTTACAAATAAGAGAAAGAAAGCCCTTGGTTACAGTTTCACCCTGGCTCTGAAATGCTCTTTGGGTTTCAGAATGCCAACAGCATGTGCTGTGAAAATATCCACCAGAAGGACAGTAACACAAAACTTCATGAGCTGATGCTTAGCCCTGGCCTATGAGAATCAGTGAAATGAGCTCAGACTCAAGTGACAGTGGAACCTGGGTTTTGCAAATCCTGCTTAAATTAATAGATCCTAAGCCATGTCTTCTGCTTGGGTAACACAGAGAAAGAGGAGGCTGTGCCTCCTAGTGCTTCAGCAAGAGCTAAATGCCTTGTTCAATGCAGACAAAACTTGGGATGCTCCAGAAACAGAGCTGTGCAGCTGCAAGGGAATTTGAGACCTAACCTGTCTCCCTTTTCTTCCGTAGGTTCAAATTTTCTTAGACTCTCTTTTGTCAAGCCAGCTGTTAACATATCCAGAGCAGGTCACTACGTATGTAAAGAATTCTAGTCTTAAAAAATGGGCATGTAAAGGCAGTTTATTCTCTTTGTGGATCTAACTCCTGAGTTGAGATGACCATGCTGGAGGAGTTTTTATGTAGCTTTTTGGGTGAGGTGGGGAGAGCAGAGTATCCACCTCAAGCACTTAAGTGTGTTTCTGAAGCCACAGCTGCTTTGTACTCCATACAAGTCCTACCAAGAGATCACACACCAGCTGGGGACTGGCATAGCCTGCCTGCCTCTGCCTGTGCCATGTCCTCTCTTGGCTCTGTGCCTGCTGGGGAGCAGTTGTAGGAAGCTCCTGCTGAGAGCAAGCTGAGAGCTCTCACTCTCACCACCAGCAGCGGATTTCATCTGGCTGATGAAAATTCATCATTACCTTCCAGATGATGGAAAGTAATCTGTTGCATTCACTGCAGTTTTTGACTTCTCCCATCTGCTGTTGAAGATTGTATCAGTGGTTTTGCATCCCTAATTTGTAATTGATTTGCACTCCAAGTTGTGGGAACAAATAATTCTGTGCGTAACTTAGAAAATGTGGCCTGTGGAGTCTATTTGCAATGACCATATTAGTTAAATTACCAGTGTGATTAACTGTAAGAATGAATGTGCTTTCATAAATACCAATGCAATTATTTCTGGTAATTTATTCCACTCCTTACAGTATGGCTGCAGAATCCGAACTAGTGTTTTTCAGATTATATGTTCCATATTTTGTGGTGGGGACTTGCGAGAATTTCCTTTTTGCTAGGGCAATTATACTTACAGGTCTTCTACTAATTTGGAGAATATTTTCAATGTTTATTAGAGTTTAGGAAACGGTGAGTATAATTATTTTTATTGTAGGTACTCAGCAATGTAACAACAAAGTACACTTCAAAGCTCTCATTTCTATATCTTTCCATTTGGTAAGATTAACACAGCATGCACAACATGAGTGTATAAGTATATATACTTTAGGATTATAAAACCAACCTCCACTTTTACAGTGTTACCAGTTTGATATTTATTTCTGAGTGAGTGGTGCACTCCCAAGTTACTAATTTAGCTAGAGGTTAGTATTGCCTTAATTGGGTTCATTCAGCTGTATGCTTGTCTTGACAAATATCTTTTCCAAAATTATCTGTAGTGAAAGAAAAAGAACAACTTTAAATCATATTTCTTGTTTGTTCCTTTTCATTTGGGTTTAGTATGGAATGCAGCCACGTGAGTAGTTGAGCACAAGAGAGGAGGTTTCAATTTCCAGGCAGGAATGTGGGAAAACAGTTTTGCTTTAGTAGAGTGATATGATCTTCAACTAGATGCTCTACCAGGTACAGCTTAGAAGTATGGAACCAAAGGCTGTTTCTTTGAGCTGAGTAGCTGTATTGTGGTTTCCTTGCTGCTTGAAACTTTTAAATTTGTTTTAATGATGAATTTATGAAACGTAAGTTATGGATGGCACAAATACTGTCTTTGTCTTTAAATTGTTTGAGGAATTGTAGGATTATTTTTGCTTTATTAACATTTTTCCAGGGACAAATATATTGCTAGTACAGGGGACAATCAAATGGGGATGTTTCTCATGTATTGCTATAATTAGTTTAGCCAAGTTTCATCTAAAAGTATATTCATATCAAAGGCAGTGGCTCAGGAGTCACACCACCCAGATCTGGATCTTCTGTTAATTCTATTCCAAGTTGCCATTTTGCTGTTAAAATCTTCAATTCTTACTTCAAGAAGCATCAACATCATGATTAGGACCTATATTGATAAAAGGTCAGAACCTTCCCTTTGGAGACCCTTTGAGAGCACTGCCTGTTTCTATTGAAAACTGGGAAATAGTAATTCACATAACCTCTTTTCAGCCCTTCTTAAATTCTGTGTTAAGGTCAAAATAATTACTGTTTACCACTCGTACTCGCACAAAAGTAGGATATGCTACACATGCCTAACTTTCATGCTGTATCGAAGTTGTATCTTTGTATGTCTGTTGTCATGTGAACCAGACCAGTTTTTTCAGTTAAAATGATTGTGGGAAAGTAAAACTGCTTTAAATTAAAGTTTATAGGGATGCTATGAGCATGTGTGCCTCTATGAAGACAAATGGCAGTTGCACGAGTTCTGCCTTGATTTCTCAGTAAATTGATGTACAAGGGATATGTTCATTTTTTTATTCTGTTCTTCTACAATGAAGGCATGCAGACTTATAATCCTAGCTCAGAAAAAAAAAATCTACCTTGCAAATTAAAAGAAGTTACTATATACTCATTCACATTACATAACTGAACATATATTTCTTCCAAGCTCCCAAATCTTTGAAAGATGCGTGAAGATCTGAAGAATCATGCAAGATGGAGATACTCTATTAAATTTGCATTTTATATCATGTTTGCAATAATGAATTGAGAATGACCATCATTCAGTGAGGCTGAATGAAAATGAATGATTACTCATCAAAAGAGTTCATAGAACAGAAGAGTAATATCCTGTGGGGCTTCAGAGTTGTATGCCTTTCACATGTAACTATGATGTAGTGTACCTTTTCTACAAAACTACAGCACGATATTTTCCTGGCAGTTTGTGGGAATATTTCTTTGAAATGAGTGCTTGTATTTTAGAACAACTCTGGACCACTGTTGGAAGTTAGCTGCCAGCTTTCATTCATTGAGTATACATAATAAACCAGCAGGCACTTGGAACAGTGCAGCCCAAAAGAAATGAAATCATTGATTTCTGACCTTCATTTTTCATATATTGTAGTAGCCTGGTACCTTTTTTATTTGCATTTTTTACATCAGGTATTGTTGGGCATTTTTAGAAAAAATAATTTCGATGCAATAAAATTTATTTTTTCATTCTACTGGGTACTGAATTTATTTGGGTAGCTGAAGTTCTAGAGGAAAATTATTACTTCTATTATATTTACTATTTGTATGTACTGATTAAAAGTGATATCTTAAGGAATATATAGAAGGCTTGTAGTAAGCAATATGATTTGAACCATGCATGATACTGCTGTAGAAATGTCTCACTGCTGCTAAATATTGCAGAGTTACTAATCATTCTTGACAAGGAGTCAGTGGTTTTCAAGGTATTTTTGGTGTCTAGTTCCCAATTCTCTACATTTTCCCTGTTCTTTATCTGACCTAATATTCCTCCTGACTGAGGGGCTTGGGAGATTTCAACCCACACTGCAGCCTGTAGGACAGTGACAATGATTGCACACATTGAAATTGAGGTCTCTCTCCCATTCCCTGTCCGAGGGTGCAGATCCTCTTACTCTAAGCCAGTCCCTGTGCTCACACATTCCCCCTGGGGTGTGATAGTCCTCATCCCAGGAATATCTCCTCCTCTTGCTCATTTCCTTTTTCAAATCCCTAAAGCTTCACCAACCTCACAGGTCCAGAAGTTCTTCTGACCTCTAGTACATGATGAGGCAGAGAAGGTGTAAAGGGTACCAGATGCAACAAACAGCAGAAGGAAGTTACCGAAGTCCATCGGTATCCTAGGATATTGGATATTACTTCACCCTCATTGTATCAGTATTTAAGAATTGTTACTATTTGTTGTAGTGTATTTAAAGTTTTTGCTCTTTTATAATATCAGTATATCACACATCATTGTACTGCACTCAGAGGTGTATAGAAGAGATTAAATGAAATCAGTATGCAGAATTCCTTGCCCCATTGCAGAGCATTAAAAATCATAAATGACATGGAGTAGCTGTCTTATTCATGAAAGAAAAACTGAGTCTTCATTCCCACTCATTTCATCCAGTTGAGGTCTTGATCAAAATTCCTACACTAAAACGCAATTATATTGTTGAGTATTTTTTCCCTTGTCTTATACCCAGACATCTGTCACATTGTTGTTTTTTACGAATAAAATTAAACTATAGATAGACAAATTGTTACTCTTGGAGATGATAAAGTTTCATATCGTGCATAAAAATCAATACTGTATAGAAGAAAGCATGGGAAGGGTCCTTGATTTGTAGTTTATTGTCCTCACTAATGGATGTCTGTAACTTGATTTAGGAGATAATGACCAAATGTTTTTAAAACAGTAATTCATCTGAATTAGAACATTTCTCTGCAGGTTTTGACATCATGGCAACATTTTAATTCAATTCCTAAGAGGGATTTATTCATCCAGGGAAAATATATTTTAAACACACTAGACTATGGATTGTTTAAATCTGGTTACCTGCGTGGGCAGACTTGTGTTGTCTGACCTTGGAAAGCAGGCAGTGACAGAACTAAGATCCTGTAAAAGAGATTTATGATGCTGTTTGCCTGTTACTAAAACTGAAAATTACTGGATGTAAGTTTTGTTACAGGTCAATAGTTGGTGGCTCTGAGTGTTTGTGCCACGTGGAGCAGGGGTGTACACGGTTGCCCAGCTGTGACAGCACAGTGGCATGGGGGCTTCTCTTTTGTCTCCAACAGAAGCAGGGGGCAAGAAGCTGCGGAGCACCGTCCAGAGGAGCACGGAGACAGGGCTGGCCGTGGAGATGAGGAACTGGATGACTCGCCAGGCGAGCCGGGAGTCAACGGATGGGAGCATGAACAGCTACAGCTCTGAGGGAAAGTAAGCGGCATTTTCAGCTGTGGTTTGTTGATGTTTCTCCATGAAACTGGTTGTTAGAGAGAAGCACAGTGAGTGCTGTAGGTCCTGTTCAGTCAGAATTCCCTTCACGAGCCAGTGTCATTGATGGACTAAGCCTAAGTCTTCCCCTGTGATGGAAAGAGTCTCCCACTGTTGGTGCAGGAAGGAGGAGGATCATTTCTGCGGTTCCATGAGAAGGGCACATGGTGGTTCTGATCATCATCATGAGGAGTGTCAGGAGGGGAAGCAGGTGCAATACAACAGGTGAAACACAGATATGAATAAGTTCTCTTCCAAAAACTCCTGGCATACATCAGTGCTATGCAAAGCAAAGCATTTCCAGAGCATTTCCATGTCTCATTCACTGGGCTTAGGAGCTTTTAAAAAATTCTGCTACTTTTAACCTGAAGAATTATCTGGCAGAAGTATGAATCTCTCATGTACCATGGTTATAAAAGCCCAAGTTAAAAACTTCTGAGTGATGTATCTGAGACATTACCCAGCAAAGTCTGATTGTAGGTTGATTTATTAGTGGTGTTCACAGCACTGGACAGTACATCTGTATTGCACAATATATCTTATCTGTCCAAGTTGATGCACTACATGCTTTTGAGATGGATGTTTGTTAATGATTGGTCATTACAAATTTCATTAGTTCTTGTTGCTCTGTAATGGGTCACAGATAATTTATGGCAAGCATTTTAGTTTTGAGTTACTTTGGTCATTTGCCACAAGGGATTTCAATACTGCTGTTGAATAGATGTCATTCTCAAAGACATTTTTAACAAAATATTTTGAATGAATAGCAATTTTGAAAATAGCAACCAGTATTTGGTCTAATGTCATCATTATTTCACTGTGTACATTTGATATTTAGCCATTGAATTCACAGTAACTGAGAAGTGTGAGCAATTTTACCTTCCTGTAACTAAGTCAGTGGTAAGGGTGTGTGTTAGTATCTTAATAAACTGGTCTCATATGCATGCTTTGATAATTAACAGTGGTCTTTAATGCATTGGAAAAGGACAACAATGATGGAAGAATACAAATTTGGAAATTATTGCGAGTAGTGCTTTCCTTACCTGATTGTTTATATGCTGGAGGCTAAATTGCTGCTTGTTGAACACTGTGGGATTTTTTAAATTACAGAATTGTTTTGTAAGTTCCTTAGAGTACTACCAAACCCACAAACATTAAGTGCAAAATATCTAGAAAACAAAAAACAAACGCAAGCCAAAATAAAACAAAAAACCAAACAAATAAAAAACACAAACAAACAAAGGGGAAATTTAAGTGTCTTTTTTGTTGGTTTCTTTTTCAATATTCTAGTTTGATCTTCCCTGGTGTGAGATTGGCTGCAGACAGCCAGTTTAGTGATTTTCTGGATGGACTTGGTCCTGCTCAGCTTGTAGGACGACAGACTTTGGCAACGCCATCAATGGGTAAGTGTTTATGTCCTCTAGATATGATATATTCTATTTGGTCAGGTAATTAGAACATAAAATTTATCTAGACTCCCTTTAAGTACGGATTTCTCTTGTGGTTTTGAACAACTCGGTTAAGAACAAAGCTGTAACCTCAGCCAAAGTTGAATGTAATCATGGATGCTTATGAAGACATGCAAAAGTAGCTAGTTGCTTTGAAAAATTCAGTCTTTCATGTCTTCTTCAGTTTTCCATCTTTAAAATGGGGCTAATGAGACCAAATTTTTCTGTGAATCACTTGGATAATATTGTATAAAAATTGGTAATTTAGTTGCAAAATATTTGTTATTATGGTGTTTACAGGTTTTTATATTCACAAGTTATCTTTTCATAACTTGTCTTAAACTAGGGGCACAGTCAAGAGATTTCAAGCAGTTTTACATGGCTGCTTTGTATTAATTCCCTTCCTGCCTTTTTTTTTTTATGTGAAACTCTTAAGAAATAGAAATTAATTTGAAGTAATACAGGCATGGAAGATGTGAGACAAGGTGTTATTGCAAAGGTTTAAAATTGTTTAGTAACATAAACAGCAGTGAAGAGGATAAATATTAAACTATCTAGTAGTGTTAAAATCTGGATCATACTTGCTGTTGGAAAACAGATGATACAAGTCAACACATTCATCCTAGAAATTTTGTAAACATTTCATATACTAAAGTAGTTCTGAATTACAATGCTGGGATTTCTTTTTGTCATTTAGGAGATATTCAGGTGGGAATGATGGACAAGAAAGGACAACTGGAAGTAGAAATAATCCGAGCCCGTGGCCTTGTTGTAAAACCAGGTTCAAAGACACTGCCAGGTAAGGAAGAAAAACCATAGTAACAGTTTTAGCACAGGGCCAGGGGTTGGACTTGATGATCCTAATGGGTCCCTTCCAACTGAGTATACAGTAAGAGCAGCATTCTACCAAAGAAGTCTGTGGCTTTTCTGTTCAGCTTTGTCAACTCTTAACAAATTCAAATCTCAGTAGATTACGATGTTCTATACTGAAATGAGTACTGTATTGAAATGATACACCAAAAAATCAGCCCTACTTCAGGAGGAAATTAAAAATCAGGCTGCCAGAAAACCCCAAAGTATTTTTGGTAATAGCAAAGGCATCCTTAGTTGTAAGGTAGAAAGAAAGGTAAATACTGAAGATTTATGTAGTCTTAGGAATCAAGGGAAGGAAGAGGGAATCAAGGGATTTGCAATAGGTATCTGCTCGAAAAGTAGACCAATATTAGATACTTTCTTCTTATTTTATAATCTGATGTCCTGTAACACTATGTGAAAAGGACAATATAATGATATTTTTAGCAAGCTCTTCAGCCGAAATAGAAATTGTGTCAGTCTTTTCTTCACTGATTTTCACCTTGTGGATAGTTTTAAATTACTAACAATTTGGAGCATTGATCCAAATCTCACCAAAGTCATTGCAAGTCGTGCATTTACTTAATAGGCCTATTTTGCATACTGTACAGTATAAGGATGCTATATATAGGAATGCCTGATTTTTTCAGGTCAGAATTTGAATTGTTTCATGGTAAAAGAGACATACAAAAAGAAGTCAAGAAAAAAATACACCCAAGGAGAGGAGTAAAGAAAATGCATGGATGCTTTGTATCAGAATAATTGTTAATACTGCTTGTGGAGATTTGTTCGTTTAAGTTATATACCCTTTAAAAGCAGATTTTTATGTGATGATAGAAAATGTGTGTGTTGCACAAAAAAATCTGGACTTCTTTACCTACTGTTCCTTTTTTTCATTCTTCTAAGCACCATATGTAAAGGTGTATCTATTAGAAAATGGAGTCTGCATAGCCAAAAAGAAAACTAAGGTAGCAAGAAAAACGCTGGAACCACTTTATCAGCAACTTCTATCATTTGAAGAAAGTCCCCAAGGGAAAGTTTTACAGGTAATTTGCATAAATATTTCTCTGAACCTGAAAATGTCACCTGTACAGCTTTCACTGAATGAGTTTCAAGCTTGTTTCAGGCTTCATTTGGCAATAAATTCTCATATTTGATATACTTGCTAAGTAAATAAACACAACAGTAATTGCTATTTATTCAAGTAGAAACTGAGTATGCAAGTAGAAGTGAGCAAAAGTGAGTTATAGATTATTTTGCATCTGCTGTATGTATGGGCTCCTCTCACTGGGTTTTCTCTGGTATTGTGGATAACTGCTGTTTGTGCCCAATTCATTTCTGTCACTGCATCATGATTAGTATACACAGAGCTAAACTATGTCAGCAGTCATATATTTCATTCCTTATTGTAATTAAATAAGCAGAGAATTTTGACAAACCACATTAAAGCTTTTGACATTTTTGCTGAATTTTTTTCTATTTTCTTGTGTTCCTTTTCCTGACAGATAATTGTTTGGGGAGACTATGGACGTATGGATCACAAATCATTTATGGGAGTGGCACAGATACTTTTAGATGAACTGGACCTGTCCAACATGGTGATTGGGTGGTTCAAACTTTTCCCTCCTTCTTCCCTAGTAGACCCAACCTTAGCTCCTCTCACTAGAAGAGCTTCCCAATCATCTCTTGAAAGTTCAACAGGACCTTCGTATGCTCGCTCATAGCAGCTGTGAAACTGTTGTCATAGCAACCAGCGTTACAAAAAAATAAAATTACAGGTCGCAAACCCTGGTAACACTGCATGCTTAATGTTGTGTCTTCTGAGCCTGTTTCTAGGGCTGCAACGCGATCCTGTGTTCTCAAGGAAGTTGCACACATTGTGCCCTACGGAAGGCCCTCAGGTGATAGACTGAAATCATGAAGAACTGATAGGTGTGGAGTTCAGGGACTCAGTTTTGGTCCAATCTGAAGCCATGGACTAAACTAAAAAAAACAATCTGTTTCATGCAACAAAAGTCCTTTTCAATGGCATATCTGTTTTGTTGCTCCCATTTCTTTGTTTATCTGCCCTCCCCTCCTAAAGTTTGGTTACGCCACAGAAACGGAGTTACCCTCCCATGAAGCCACGTTACAAGTCAGTTAGCAGACACTGGAAGAAAAGAAGAATCTAAGGATGCTGGAAAAGCCAACTGACACTTGCAGCAGTTGCTTGAGATCTGAAAACTCTTCATATTGAAAAGGCTCAAGACCTAAAGTGGCGGGCTTCATCCCCCCAGCTGTTCACACAGTGAAACCCCAGACATGATGGACTCTCTGAAAAATAAAGTTCTGTGGATATACTGTACTGTATGAAATTAAGAAACTTTTTTGCATGGACACAGATTTAGCTGAACACTTAAATTATTTTCTTGGGGCTGCAACTTGCAAAAAAAAAAAAAAAAAAAGAATAAATCAGCCATTTTCAACAGTTTATATTATTTTTAAAAATAAATTTCACTAGTGCATGGTTTTAAAGGGAAGAGAATGCACCAGGGTGATACAAAGACACACCACGTTTATCATTCTTTAAACCAGTCATGGTCTGTGTTTTTGCAGACTTATATTAAAAATAAAAAATAATTTCTAGCAAATATTTAAAATTCTGTTTATGTGACAAGAAATAAGTGTAATATATTAAATTTATTTAAATGTAAAAGGTACAAGCCTTGTAAAGTTCAACATAATGTGCAAATTGTACACTTCTTTTACCTCCTTCTTTCTCTATCTCTCCTCCCAGTCTCCCTTTTTCCTTTTGCTCTTTTCCCCCTCTACCTCCCAGGATGATCAGCATATTCTAAAATGGCTACCTTTTGACTTATTACTGTCTTATGCCCCATATTTGGTTCAGGGTTGCAGATTGTTCTGCATTTCTGAATTATTTGAGAAAAATATTGTTTAAGAGCTTACTTTTTTTCAAGCATGTTGAAAAGGATTTTGCAACATGGCTTGGGAGTACATTAATGTAATTCAGCATGTATTTGATAAAGAAGATATTTGAACTTTTGCAATTTATTGTACAGTGCATGATAACTTTTCATTTTTTCTCACCTTCAAATTGAATTCTACAGCAAAATACTGGAATCATGTGGCCATTGTAAGATGTCTTCAATAAATTTGTTTTCAGCACCAGCATCTTTCATTCCAAGACTGAACTATTATTTCTTGAAGGTTTTTGGAAAGAGCAGAAATTAAGTACCTGATTGATTTTTAGGAAAACAATTTAAGCACTTTTATTTGCACTAAACCAAATTGATTGCTACATTTTTGAAATAACAAAAGCAACAAAGGTTACAAATCCATACAGTTCTGCTGTAAAGTTCAATTTTCATAAATTACATTTGCGTTGCAAAAGACATAATTAGGTAATATCAGTCTGGAAAGTATCAGTCTTTGATTGGTAAAATAGCCTTAAAGAAAGCTTACTGGTACCACTCTGTCAGCTTTTTGCACCATTACCAGAACCTCACTGCAGATAATGGATCTTCAAAACCCTGGGTTTTGTAGCAGACAGTAACTACCGTTGGGTGGTGCTGCAAGTTCAAGCTTCTCATTAAGTTATGTTATTTAAAGGGAATGTAACTGGCTAACGTTTAATAACAAAATATCCTTCTTTTTTTTTTCCTGGGTCTTTGTATGCCTTTAATACCTACTTAAGGTTTAATATTGAAATCTTGCAATAATTTTTGAAGTACATTACATTTACCTTTATGGCTACACAGAATTACTCTGATTTTATTTGAAAATTTATTAAAGTTTCCCATTAACAAATTGTACATGCCTCTTAAGAGGGAAGAAGTAAGAACAGTATCACTTATAATGCCTTTTACTTTGTGCAATATCATAGAAAATGAGATTGTGTCTTGTCTGCAGAGTTTATATAATGGATTATTGTTAAGTTAATAGACAGACTGGTAAAATTATATTTATTGAAATAATTTAGACACCTGTCTACCAGCAGCAAATAAATACTACTAACATGCAGTCTACAATATCCCCTAGGATATTAAACAAAAATATATAACCATTTTCCTGACACTGTGAGATGTGCTCACACATTCTTGTATGCATAGTCCTCTATAAATTATTTCGAATTTTAAAATCAAGGACATGACGCATGGAAGGTTTGTACATAATTGTCATTATGCAGTATTTATTTTAAAAAAAAATAATGTATTTTTTTTAATTTTCACACGTCTGCAATTCTACTTATGGTTTAGTTGTGTAAATAGTACTAATCCAGTGATCACTGCTGTCTTGTAAATAGTACGTTTTAAAAAGTTAAAAGGAATTACAGTTGGGGGAAAAAAAAGGGCAGATTAGGCCTGTAATGAACACCAACTAATGTAAATCAAACTCATTCCGGTGATGGTATTTAACACTTTAAATAAAACATTTTCTTTACAGAATTTGTGTGCAGAGTTTTGTTGCTTTTCTCTATGGTGGTCAGCAGTATCCTTCCATCCTTGCACACCCTTCAGTGGAGCTGGAGGCGAGCAGCTCACTCAGCTGGAGAACACACACGCTTTTCTCCTCCCAGCAGGGCTGCAGGTGGAATGCCACTCTCATGGTGCCACGTTCCCTGCCAGGCTCAGGGAGTGGAGGGAGGCCAGGCATGCCCATCACCCAGCCAGGCCGTGGGCTCTGCGCTCCGGCCACCCTCAGGCTCCCACATCCCACAGGGCACAGCTCCCAGGATGGAGCTGGCTCCAAGCTGCCGTCTCTGGCTGCCAGGACATGCTCCAGCTCCAATCCAAGCAGCACACCAAACGTGCTGAGACCATGAAGTGCTCCCATCAGCTGCTCTGGAGTGGCTGCATCATACAGTTAGACTTCCACCCTATCCCTAGATACCTCCTAATATTAGCTGCCTTTTTTTCTTTTCTCATGAGCAGGGTACAAATGAGGACAGAATGCCCACCTGACAGTGGAGGCTGCAAGGACTCATGCAGCCTCTGCAGAGGAGAGCACCACACACCACACACACTGCAGGTGCTGTAGAGGACCAGCACCTCTACAGCAATGAGGGGTGGGTGGAGATGGGAGAGTAGAGGATTTATCTCTACCTGACCCCTCAGAGGCAGCATCAGCACAGGCAATGGGGACTGGGCAAAAATTGAGCACTTAGGACTTGGAAATTTACTGAAGAGTGAGAGGCTGGCTGGCAGTTTGCACAGAAAAATGTGTGTATTTATTTCCAGATATGAGGTGAAAGAAAAGCACTGCAGTACTGTCATGAGACAAAAGCACAAAAAAAGCAAGCAAATGTATTTTGGGCCGAGCAGTTGTGGTAACTGAAGATAGGAGCTCCATTTGTTGCACTGCATCTGCAAGAGGGTCGCTGCAGGAACAGACCCAGATTTCTGGTGTGTTAAACCACCAATACCTCAGCAGGTCCCTGTTCTGCTGATGTTGACATTGGTGTTGCAAGGGTGTCAAATCAGACAAATCTCTGTAGGAACTGGACTATGGGGGCAGGTGTGGCTGCCCCATGCCCCAGAGTACATCATCTCCAGCCCTGTGGTGGGGTGTGCAGCAAAACACCTCATCCCACAGCTGAACACGAGACCTTGTCTGTCTTTGGGCACTTGTTAGAAATATACACTATTACTCTCAGCGAATCCTTGAAAAGGCCCTTTGTACATTCCAAGAAAGCTACAACCAATACTTTTCTAAAGGGTCTGACACAATTTCTCAAGATTGCTTACTGTTCCCCCTCTCCAATTCTTATGTCCACTTTATTTCAAACCAAACAAAACTAGATCATTTTAATATTAACAGTATCACTTTAGTCATGACTATTAAACATTGCCTCAGATGGTTGATTGATCTGGTTTTACTGGGAAGAGTTTGTGCCAATAAAAAATGCAATAAAACACCATGGTGCCCATGGTGAGGCTTTTCTGCTTCCATGCCTTTACTTCAGGTTTACAAGGCTTAAGTAGTATGATGGGGGTGAGCATGGGGCCAGCACATCCTAGCCAGAGCACCATTGCATTCTTGCAGTTTCCCACTACTATAAAATATCTGTTCAAAACTGTATAATAAATAAAATGTAACAGTTTTCATATAGAGGTTTAATATGGCATAAAACGTAACAAAGCAATAGCTTTCATGGCTTTCTCACAAAGTTTGATAATGCTGTGTGGGAGTCTAGAACAGTTTGTACTTCTTCCCTTGGCTCATAGGTGTGCAATTCTCACCTGTGAGCAGGCACAACTGTAGTGGTGCTTCCAATTTTGACTATCCTCTCTGTCCCTTCCTTGGTAAGTATTTACAGCAGCGCTTCACCAGGAGCAAGCAGCAGTGCAAGAAAGAAGATGCACATGTGCCCAGCAAAGAATGGTTCACCTTCAAAGGACAGGTTTATGGAACCTAGCTTAGCTGGCAAGAAAGAAAAAATAAAAAAAATACAGCTATCTGCTACTAATACCAAAGGTAAATTAACTTCTGGAATTATTTGCTTAATACCTGCCTATTTTTGATGCCTTGTTTAGGATGGGATGAGTCATGCTGGGGACATCAGATTCTCTCCTTCGCTCTCCGTTGGCTACAGAGGCAGAAAGTGATGACTGGCTTGTGTTGAACTTCTACCTTCACAGCAGCTGTGCTTAGGAGAAGCAGATCCAAGCATAGTAGCCAGAAATAAAAATCCACAGTCCTTTGGTAGCAAGGCCTATCTGAACTGCCTGTATAATTATCAGGACTGAGGGCAGCAGGCAGGCAATAACTGATGAAGGAGGAAATGGGCGTGAATTAATTTCCTAGATCTGACACACTGTCATGTCAG